TTACACCACAAGCAGTTTGTTGCAAATAAAAAGCAAGCATTACACCACATTCCACTCTAACACAAATGAAATTTTGTTTCCTGTTCACTATTCTAGCATGAAATCCCCTGCCATGGGGGCTGTCTCATTCCCCCCCACTCTTTGGCAGCAGATCCCCTGCTGTAGGTAATAACACCACCCGGTGAGGGTTCATTTCATAGTGGGAATCAAATCCAGCCAAATCCATGTGAGGCCTCTCCCAGGGGGCCTTCTGTCAAAGTAACTTTCTCACTCTTGTTCAACCAACTAGACATTTGTACTAGGAGTTTGAAAATAACTTTGTTATTAGAAATAAATGATAACTTCAAATATTTAAAAATTAAGTTGCACTATTACATATTAATAATTTTTATTCATTTATTTCAGCCACACCTATTAATGGAGGAAGAGAATCATGATGATATATTATTATTTTTATTAATGAAATAATCACATTGCTTAACCTTTCAGTTACTTACATAGTTCTACAATGACATCTGATTGAATATCATTTTATATTAATCTATATATTAGTTTTAGATATCCAGAGATATTCAATGAAGACTTTTTTTTCCTTAAATTCTTTTATTGGTAAATTTTAGGTGTATAATATATTTATATTTATCATTGGGTGCTTGTACCTGTACATGATGTATCTTGGTTCTTATTTTTTCCCCGTTCCCCGTGCTCCCTTCACCCCCTCCCCCTTCCCTATTTACAAAGACTTTGTTTCCATTTTTTCCTTTTCTTATAATTTTTCCTTTCCCTTCTTTCCTTTCCCCTTCCACTTCTCCTACCCCTTTGGACCTTTTCTTCCTATTTCAAATTATCAATTATTCATTTTAATCATTTTAATCCTTATTTACACTGTCAGTTTCTCACACCAGAGAAACAATTCAGTATTTACACGTGTCCTATTTATTTCACTTAAGAGTATGGCCTCAATATGCTTTCATTTAGCTATAAATGTCTCTAGTTTGTCATTTTTTATGGCTGAGTAGTACTCCATTTTATAAAAAAACTACATCTTCTTTATCCAATTTCTAGTTGATGGCCACTTGGGCTGTTTCCAAACTTTAGCTATTACAAACTGTGCCGCTATAAAATGGGTGCACATATATTGCTGTGGTATGATTCTTTTAATTCTTTTGGGAAGATATCCAGCAGGGGAATAGCTGGGTCAAATGGGATCTCTAGTCCTAGTTCTCTGCGGTGTCTCCATACTGACTTCCACAGTGGTTGCACCAGTCTATACTCCCACCAGCAGTGGAGAAGGGTTCCTTTCTCCCCAAACCCCCACCAACATTTGTTATTGGTTGATTTCTTGATAGTAGTCATTCTTTCTGGGTGGAATCTCAGTGTTGTTTTCATCTGCATCTCTCGAATGACCAATGATGTTGAACATTTTTTCACATGTTTATTTGCTGCTTTTACTTCTTTGTCTGAGAAATGTCTGTTCATTTCAGATGCCCATTTTTTTGAATTGGGTCTTTATATTTGGGGTGTCTGATTTTTTTAAGTTCTTTATATATTCTAGATAGTAGACCTTTGTTTGAGGACCAGCTGGTCAAAATTTTTTCCCACATTGTGGGTTGTCTCTTCACACTGCTGGTGGTTTCTCTTGCTGTGCAGAGTCTTTTAATAAGATGAGATCCCACTTGTTGATTGTGCTAGTTCACATTCAACTGAGGTTTTGTTCATGAAATCTTTTCCTACACCAATGTCTTCAAGAGTTCTACCTAACATCTGTTCCAGCCGGTTCAGTGTTTCTGTTTTAATATTAGTTTTTTAATCCACTTCGATCTTAGTTTAGTGCATGGTAATAGATATGGGTCTAGTTTTAATCTTTGGCAGGTTGAAATCCAGTTTTTCCAACACCATTTGTTAAATAGGCTATCTTTCCTGCAGTGAGAGTGCTTGGCTCCTTTGTCAAAGATGAGGTGGCTGAGTGTGTCTGGAATTGTTTCTGCATCGTCTAATCTGTTCCACTGGTCCACAGTTCTGTTTCTTTGCCAGTACTATGCTGTTTTTATCACAGTAGCTTTATAGTATAGTTTCAAGTTGGGGATTGTGATACCCCCTGTGATGTCTAGGTTGCCTAGAATTGCTTTTGCTATTCTAGGTCTAATGAAGACATTTCTGAAAGTAACTGTAATGCTTAATTTGTTTCTTATTTACAAGACAATTAGTAAACTTACTGGGACAATTGGTGAAACATGAATAAGATTTGCAGATTTGATAATAGTATTGAGTGAAATTTCTGTTAGTATCATGAGTTTGGTAATTTTAGAGGTTGTATAAGGGGCAAAGGGAAATCATGGCTTCATGGTTGCTACTTGTTCTTAGATACTTCAGGAAAACATCGATTGTACATACACACACACACACACATATATATTTATTCACATGTGTGTATGTATATAGAGAGAAAGAGATGGAGACAGAAAGAGACAAAGAGATAGGGAAAAAGGAAGAGAGAAAGGGGAGAGAGAGAGAAAACATAAAATATGGAGTATTTTGGATTTTTACTATTCTTGCAACTTTCCTATGAATCTGATATTATTTCAGAAAAAACTTACAAAACTAATTATATATGGACAAGAAAAAACTCTCCTGCATTAAAGTTTTCTTCTATTCACTCTTTGTGTGACTTTAGTACTAGCATTTATTTAATAATTTTAATGAAAGGGCAGATGATAATTTACAGAGTACGGTTTTATTTATAAATGATGTGCTATCCTGTTAAGGGGAGCATCACTATAAAATATTTAAATGAGATATGGCAGAGCTAAAGCTAAAATTAACTGCCCTTTCATTTAGAATCAGTGCTGTGTAGACTATGCATTTGAAATCATTTAAATGCACATTCATAATAAATATTAATTACCACAATTCTGCATTAAAATTATTGTTCAATGCAATAAAATAATTATTCAGTGAAATACTGAAGATCCCAAGGTGTTAATTTTGTTACTGATTTGTACATTCAGTTTATATCAGATAAATACACTAATGCGTATGTTTTCTGTAGCATTCACTGGCTTTTATCAAGCACTTTCATTTTGCTGAGAACTACATACGTGACAGGAGGCAGTGGCTGATTATTTTCAAGGTGCTTTCCTGAGGTAGAATAATAAAGACAGCTGGAGCCAGGCCGGTGCTGTCCCAGGTATCCTGAAGACTGTCACCCCTCCCTTCCTTCTAGATGGGGAGCAGAGGGCCCCTGACATGCTCCTTGGGGAGGGGGACCAGAGCCCCGGACAGAGCGCCTGTGCACACCTCCCTGTGAGCAGCCTCCTCAGCTGGCATCTGCTCTTCAGGAAAGTCATTTCTCTGGGGCTGTGCAGTCATTCAGAGGACATTTCTCTGTGGCTCACTTCAGGATGACTTTGCAAAAGCAAGGAGCCCTGGAAACAGCGCAGGCCAAGTTTGCCTTGGCCAGAGCTGTGTGGCAGATGGCAGACACAGGAGGCAAGAAGCTTGCCTGTGCTGAGTCTGGCTGGCGACCCTGGACCGCAGGAAGGTGCTCAGATTGCAGAGGAACTCCCATTGCTCTTGCATGGCCACCTTAGCCAGACGCCTACTCCTAAGGGTGTCTTTCCCTGAATCACCCCAATCACAGCTACATTTCCTTTCACTCACTCCCAAATCTTTGTGTGCTGTTTACTGGGTTCACACTCTTAACTCTGCCGCATTCATGCCCATCTTGCCTCTCCTCAGGGAATCTCCCTCAGTGATCCGTTAGAAACTAAAAATGCCTCCTCTCTCCTCATGTTTAAGGGCAAGACCCTCATAGTTTCCTTGTTGAATCTCTAGCTCTTCCTTGTACGCCAGTTCTAACACCTTGGATAAGGATTCAAGCTCATGTATCCTGGGCCTCTGTATCTGTAAAATGAGAACAATTCAAAGCAGCAACTGTTATTTCTACCTGTACCTCCTCTCCTTACGATCTTGGCCTTAGGGTTCTGGATTACTGTAAAGCAAACTAAGACACCAATGATTGGGAAATGTTAATAGTTGTAATAGGTGCAGGCTCACACTGAGAAGGAAAAAATTCCCTAGCATGGCACAGACACATTCCTACTTTAAGGGAACAATCTGCCTCCTTCACCCTAACTCCCCACTCTCTCCCCACTCTGGAGTAATATATGGCAATGGGCAACCTCTGGAGGGCTGCAACCAAATGGAAGTTGTTCCTCCAGTGTGCCACTGTGCTTTGGGACCACACGTCTACCAGTTACCCCAGCTTTACCTCTCAGTGGGAGTGAAGACAATGTCCCTGAGGTCCACCAGATGGCCACAAAATACTTAGACGACAAAGACCCGGAAAACAAGAGTCATTAATGGGAAAAGGGTAGCATTTAAGAAAATGTGTGGCCATTCAAGGGCATCCATCTTGAAAAAGTCCAGAGGCACTCTGGTTGTGGATCTATAGTGCCCCAAGGAGTTTTGGCAGATGCATAATTTGGACACAAGGAAAATTTTCAAAGTATTTTTTTTCTATGAGGTTTTATTTTCCCTCCGAAATTTATTTGAATGTTAGGTCTTTTGTGATTACTATTATGACTCAGTACTATCAGGAGTCTAAGTCTTTATATCACCAAACTTTTCAATATCTGCTCGGAAATGTTATATGACTCATACTCCTGTGTCTGGTACATTGTGAGTATTCAGAAAGGTTAGCTGTTACTGCTGTTACAAATATCACATGCATCACTGAATATCACCATGCTAGAAATGTAACTCATTTAAGTGCTTCACAAATCTACACAAATTATTGTAACATCTCTATTTATATTCTTAGATAGCTTGATATTTTCCACCAGCCATACTTGACCCACCCCAATCATCAATGGTAGCCCACTAACCTCGGGCTGCAAAGAAATCTGGTAGAACTATGTGATAATTCTATATTGTGAATGAGTTCAATAAAGCAGACATATTACCTCTCATTTTTATTTCCCTTCTGTTATAAAGAATGCAGGGATGAGTGTGGACATTTCCGGTGTGTCTCACCTTCATTTGAGTTGAGGATGTTTGCTGGAGGGGAAAGAGGCAGCCAAAACCAACTGTGAGCAAGTACTTTTGAAGACAAATTCCCAGGCATATTCTCGACTCAGCTATAGTTGAAGGTCATTTTCTTCAATTCCTGAAAGAAATGTATTAGCTGCGTTCATCCTTGGAAGGTAGGAATCTGAGCCTGCAGTAGCGCAGGGAAAGGCTATATTCGTCTTCAGGCCTTGGGAGCAGATGTTTATATAAGCAGATATGGAGTGTTGGTCACAGGAACTACCACAAACAGCCCATTCTTTCTCTTTGTCTTCCCTTTTGCCTACCAATAAGCCTGGCAAATATTACTGCCTATTTGGGGATAGACCGGGAAAGAGGCTGCTCTGTAGCACTCTATGTCCTTGCTTGTGTATAACTATATTTCACATGTCCGGATGGCTGAGTGCAGCTGTCAGATATTTAGATAAATTGTTAGCTACCCCCATTGCTTAGATTGTGTGGCTGAAATGACAACTTCTAAATAGTTTCCTTTGTGCAGTTTTTTCACCCCTACTGGGGCTACAGCATCAAAATGCAAGCCATAGAAAATCAAACGCAGTAGGGTTTACATGTTCTGGAATCAAGATTCTCGCTCCTATTTTATTTTCTTCACTCAAAAGGCTTTGATGAGGGATGTTTTGATGACTATCTCTGAACAGTTGCAGCATCATGTAAACAATTGTTCTACAGCTTTCAAGAAAATTCTGTCATACTAGCTCGCAAGTTCTTTTTATCCAGCTCTAATTACATAAATTGTTATATAAACAGATGTCTGTTACACCAAAATGTACTTCATTTGGGAACTGTAATTTTTCTGAGTTCATATGCCAGTGGCTAAAAGAAACATCTTTTGATGTTATCAAGGAATGTTTTATGCAGTCAGGCTGTGAGCAGCAAGACAGTAATCAGTCAGACTCCTCTGCCTTCATTCTCTAAGGAACAGAAAGAAAAGACTCACAGGGCAGGTGTCAGCTCAATCTTTTCATCTTGGTTACATAACTGTCATAAAGACAATAGTATTAAAAAACTTTTCCATGTGAAGGTTTATTTGATCTTTATAAAACTACTCACAAAGTTGGTAAAGTCCAACCTATGGCCTTCCGTTAGGCAAGGCATATCTCAAAGTCCCTGAACTCACACTTATTTATTTATTTATTTATTTATTTATTTATTTATTTATTTCCGTCTTCTGTAAGTATGGCTAACCCTGCCTGCTGCCTTCCCAGCATTACCATTCACTTGCTTCTCTTTCTGAAGTGGCCACTTGCTGGAGGCTGCCCTGTCCCACCTCTCTGCCAGCCAAGGCCAAGAGTCCATATTCTGTGTCTCCTCTTGTCTCACAATTCAATCCACTCAGTTACTCACCGTTTACTAAGGATCTCCTGGATCCCAAATCTGATTCTTTGGCATCAGAGTGTGTTTTTGAATAATATCTGATATTACTAAATGCTTCCTTTGGGTTTCCATGATTCTATTGTCTCTGGGTTACTTTTCTTTTCTCCAATCATTCCTATTTAGGCTTTATATTTTCCATTATAACTTTATTCACTGGACATTTGGATCCCAGGCAGTCTTCCTTTTCTTGCTGTAATATAGGCTGGGAACTCCCGTGTTCCATTGTTTTTGACTATCAGCTACATGCTAGTAACATTGTACGGTACCCTAATGCCTTACTATGTGGGTGATGGTCAGAGGGGATTTGTACCCTATCTATTACTGCTCTGTGCTAGAATTTTAAAAAATCATCAACCAGACACCTATACTGAATTCCAAAACAAAATAAAACAAAACAAAATGAAAACAATACAGATAAAACTCCAAAACATTTATGCCATCTATTTGTTATTAATTATATGAGGTAGACTGCTTTAGTCCTTATCACTGGATCTGTTCAAGTGAGTATAGACAATCATGTTTGGGGCTCTTGTAGACAGAACCGAAGCATTGAACATAGAGATGGATTTAAATCAGACCTTCTCTAAGAGTTTATATAAGCTGAGATTTGGTGATTCGAATAACATTTATGTATGGCCGAGTGGAATTTGAGACACTTTGTTTTCATATATTTATTTTTAAAAATCATTTGAACAATGCTGTAATTTAAGTATTCTGTCCCTCTCTTCTGTAAGAATGAAAAAAATCAGATAATTAATTTATTTGTCTATAATCACATAGCAGAATTATAAATAGCAGAGCTGGGATATACAGATTTTATCCTCTGACTCAAAACCGATTGCTTTCACATGATAATAGATGTGTATAAATATTATTTGTTCAATTGAGACTACTTGCTTGAAAATGGTGAACATAAACAGATATTTATTTTTTACTTTACTAAGTGCATAGGTTGATTTAGATTTCATGTGGTTTTAAGCTTATTAAAAAGTTTGGGGTGCTCTTTTAGAAAAGTAATACAAAATGATGAAGATACTTCCTCAGGATTTGACAAGGGTTAATACATTTGAGGAGACCTGAAACCTAAGCTTGACTAAATGTTTTCCAAGACTAAACACCTGATACCTAAACACAGTTATTTGCACATTAAATCGTCACTGAAAATAACAGAAAACCCATTTACTATTCTGGATTGTTATGACCTTTTCCAGCTGTTTCCAATCAGAGAAGAGATATTTTGATGGTTTCTGGAGACAGTCTATTCATCTAAAAGCTGAGGCCCATCAGTAGTATGTAAAACAACACAATAGTATCAGTAAGTAGGATGTATTCAACACAATAATATGCATTTTTCAAGTTTTTGCATGGGCTTACAAAGTATAGTTTGCTCATTATAAATAGTTCTTAATGCTTCATCTCCACCTCAGATGGACTTTGAGAATCACAACTAGAGCTACTGTTGCTGTTGAGCTGCTTCCTACGTGGCAGGCCTCCAAGAAGCTGAGATTATTACTGGATGTGTGAGATACCTGGAACACAAACTAAAGAAGGGAAGCCGTGATGGGGGTGTCAGCCAGGATGGCAGGACAGGTAAATTAGATACAGAGCAAAGAAATTATTGAGTCACTAATATCATCAAGACTGTTGTGTGGAAATGTGTGCTCGGGCACAACTGTTTACCATAAGAACTGGTTCCTGACTGCCATAGATTTTCTCACTTTTCTCTGGAGTTCTAATCCAAAGTCACCCTGAAACATAGCAAAAAATTTTATCCTTGAATGATTCACTTCCTGAACAGTACTTGGTCCTCTTAGTCATTACTTTTGGGTGAGAGAGTAAATGAAATCATACCACCAGTTATATTTTAGTCTTCAGAGAAATGGTAGATTGATGATTCTCTGGCCTTCTTAAATCCCAACTTCAAAAATAAGAAGCTAGAAAAAACTTATTCACATTTCTAGCTTTAAAAGGAGATAAAAACCAAATTAGCTATCTTTGTTTAGCAAAGGTATAGAAACGTTCTTCTAGTTATAACCACCTAAAGATTGAGGGACCTATTTGTGTTCGTTGAGAGCTGAGTGATACTAAAGGAATTCAGATTTGGATAGGCTCAACACTTGTCTTATACAACACTGCAAGGGTTCAGATCATAGGTTTAAGCAAATAATCTTTATAGCCACTTTCAATTTTGGGTGGCATATTTAAATAATAAGAGCTATTCATGCTTAAGAACAATTGGGGTTTTAAAAAAGAAAAGAAACTTTGGCGAGCTTGTGTTTTCCCATTTGCTCTTCTAATTATCACCACACCAGTACTCTACCAATATATAGGAAGCAAATAGATGAAGAGTATGTTTGGTAAAAGAATAATAATCCTAAATTGTGTGTCAAGACAACAGATACAATTTTATTTCTTATGGAACTGTTCATGGATTGCCAAGTAACTCATCTAGACTTTTCATACTTTCTCTTGAAGCTGTTTTTAAAGTCAGCAAAAATAAAGAGTGATCAGCTGTAATTTAAGTCATAAATAATCAGCACAAAGAATATGGATGAATAACAGTTGGAGGGCTGGAAGCTGACTGTAGTTATTAGTGCTGATCTAAAACAAAAGGACTCATAAAGCAAAATGGGGTTTCCTTGTATTTTCTGTTATCTAGCTTCAGTAAATTTCTGCTTTAAATAACTGAAAGTCACTTTTTTGTCTTCTTTCTGAACAAAGGCTTCTCTCTAAATGCATGTGAAGTTTTCATGTGATATGCTTACTAATGGGCCAGAGGTCCTCATTTTGTCTAAATAAATATTATATGGAGTACTCTTCATTGTGCACTAGCAATAATTACTTTTATTTAAATAAATAAAGGCTCTTCATTGACATCAATGGACAAAGATCCATAATCATACATATCTCTTTTTAATAGCCTATATTATCATTTGCATGCTGTAATATAAAGTAGATCAACCAGAGACAGTTCCATTTAAAAATTGTTATATTCTTCAAATATTTACCATGATCATTATATTCACCATACTGAAGACATTTTTAACTTCGTTATGAACTATTATGTTTTTTCAACATGATTTCTTTTTAGTCTTAACTTTAAAGCTGAGAAAATGCTGAATGGAATTCCATTAAATAACGATATTATTTATTATCATTACCTCAGTTAATAGTGCTACTTGAAATCACAGTGCATCTAAAATTATCATTTGCAAATTCTATACTGCTGTTTTCCAGGAGGACATGTAAATGCACACACATAAAACACAGTGACTCTGTCAGTGGATATTTATAGTTCCCCTGATAAAAGGGGGGGGGTAAGAATCATGCTCACCAGATTCTTGTAGTGTCTTTCTGCATAGAAAGTGGAGATTTTCTTATTATTGAGCCAGGCATGAGATTTGCATCCAGCTTTTTTTGTCTTTTTTTTTGTGTGTGTGTGTGTGGGTTATTTTAGTGATTGTCCATGATTTTATTTTAAATGTCCTTATTCATTTATTTATTCAAATCTATTGCTTCTCTGGTTATACTACTCATGAAGAAGCTGAAGCAGCAGCAGATTGATTTAAATTTAGAGACTGTACACATTAGAAAAATAAGGGACCTTGATCTTTTAATGTTGACACTATGCATTAGTTATCGCTATTATGTAATAAGTTATCCCAAAACTTAGTGGCTTAAAATAACAACACGAACTTAATGTATTTTACGGTTTTTGTGGCTGGTTCTGAATGAAGGTCTCTCGTGAGGTAGTAATCAGATCCCAGCTTGGGCTGCAGCCCATCTGAAAACTCGACTGAGGTTGGAGGGTACTTTGTCAAGTTGACCTGTTATAATCTGTAACAATTTCTGATGTACAGGAATGAAGGAACATTCCTCATGGGTAGTACTTACTTAATAAGCTTATCAAGGGGAGCTCCCTTGAAACAACTTTGCTTTTCTTGAAACAACCTGTCTTATTCATGAATTGCTTTGGTATTTAAAATAAATAAGTTGGGATCTCTCCTTCTGGCAGTGTGACAGAATAAATTTTCTGAAGCATGTAAAACAGACAAATTAAACCAGCTTCTGTCTGGATAAAGTATGTCTTTTAATTGATTTTTGGTCTCAAAGTAAGAAGTAAAGGAAATTGTTAAGGGCACCCTTCACCACTACCTGAAGGATATGAAGGACCAGAGAACAAGAAGCAATCGAAGAAAGCCAAAGTGGTCCTCAGGGCAGATGTTTTTACTAGTGCTAGTATCCATCAGGTGACTACATTAATTGGGTGATAAGGGTTAGAGGCAGAAAAACCAAACTCTGGGAGTTCTTCAGAAGTTTGTACAACCTTAAGTGGCTAAAGCAGAGACAAATTTTCTCCAGCCCACTGACCCCAAGTTTACACCACTGGGTTTTCAATGTAATAAAATATTCATATATGAATTCATTAGCAAAGATAACCTGATAAACAAGGAAGTAAACTACCATGAGTAGGGCTTGCCAAAAAGATTGACAGCGTATGTCAACCTCAAAGACTTAAGACTGGTAATTACCAATTTTGGAATATAAAATTATGTGATATAGTTAAAGAAATTGGGAGGGAATCATAAAAATGAACAAATAATGATAGACTATCAAACATTATCATGTAAATAGAAAAGTTTCATTTAACCAAAAAGTATAAAATTTCTATGTGTATGCCTTTAAGTACCTTTAAGATATAGTAAGAAAAATGTAAGTTGGGCTTCATCAAAATCAACCACTATTGTACATCACAGGATATTGAAAACTGTACCTGCAGAATGGGAGAAAATATTTGAAAATCATTTATCTGACATTAGATTAATTAATTAATGGGATTAATATTCAGAATATGTTAAGATACTCTACAACTCAACAACAAAAAATTGGACAGCCTAATCAAAAAGTGAGCAAAAGAATGAATACTTCTTCAAAGAAGTTGTATGAATGGTTAATAATCATATTAAAAGATGTTCAACATTACTAATCATTAAAGTAATGAAAATTCGAACTATTGCGAGATACAACTCATTGTGATTGCAATCAATGAGATTGCAAGTACTTGTGTGGCCTCAGTTTTTTTTTAAAGAAGGAAAATAAAAAGTATTGGTAAGGATGTGGAGAAATTGAAAACATCATAATTTGCTGGTAGAGTATAAAAATGTACAGCCTCTATGAAAAATAGTTTGGTAGTTCTTCCAAAAGCTAATCATAGACTCATTATATGATGCAGGAATCTCACTGTTAGGTAGAATTGAAAACTGGGGCTCAATCTGATATTTGTAACCCATGTTGACTTCAGCATTATTCCCAGTATCACAAAGGTGGAAAAAACTGATGAAAACAAAAACCAAATGTAGCAGACTCATACAATGGAAAATTGTTCAGCTATACAAGTAATAATATCTTAATGCATGCTATAAAATGGATGAAACTGAAATATGCTAAGTGATATAAGCCAAATATAGGCAAATTCATAGAGACAGAAAGCAGTTTAGAGATTCCCAGAGTTTGGGAGAGAGGGAAAGAGAGAGTTTTGTTTAATGGCTATAGAGTTTGTTTGAGTTATGAAGAAGTTTTATAAATACATAGTGCTTATGGTTGTATAATATAGGGAATACAGTTAATACTACTGAATAATACACATTAAATGGTTCAAGTGGCTAGTTTTATGTGGCATATATTCTATCACATTAAAAATAATAAAAAATGGATAAAACTAGGAGAAGAAATGGATTTTATTATAGAGAGATTTCAACACATCTCTCTCAACTATTGAAAGACACACTTTCTCATTATGGATGGACAAGTAGTCAAAATTCAATAAAAAGAGAAATATGAAAACTTGTACATTTATAATCTGTATGCACAAGAATTTACATTTCTCAGAAATATCCTACTGAAAGTCTTGCCCGCATGAACCACAAGGCAGTTGTAATCATTTTAATAGCATTTTTATTAATTCTGTGAAAAACTAGAAGCAATTTAAAGTGTCATTAAAAGAAATGCAAATGTGTGTTTTTGAATATTTACACAATGGAATTTTAGTCTGCAGTATACAAGTTATAATCATATGCAACACTACAGAAGAATTTTACTTACATAGTAGTGAGACAGTCAAAGTACATTAATTCATTTTTTTGTAAATCTCCAAATACAGGCATTCTTAATTTAAATGTGATTTTATAGCAGTTATTTTGCTATTATGAATGTAATTTTTATATTAGTTACACATATCTATTTGTATCCATTAATATGATACAGAATATGATAATGTGAAATACCATATAACAAGTTTATGTCAGTGTTGCATTATCATAATAACTACGGTTGATAAGCCAATAAAGATTTATTAAATACACCATATTTTAGTTTGGTGGTTTTTATGAGAGACTTACAATGTACAGAGATTGAGGTAATTTGAAATATTGCTGTTTATGCACAGTATTGTGTTTTTGTGATTATTTTTTCAGCTATAGAAATGAAAATATTGCCTGAATAAACTGTGACAGGAAATTTGAAGCTTTTAAATATGGCTTATTTCTTTATGAATATCCATGATCTGGTCAGAGAGAATGATAATATCTGTTCTTAATATTACTATTAAAATTTTTATAAAGACTGAAATACAAATAAAACATATATATGCATTGGTTAGGCAAGGATAAAACTATCATTTATGCACAATACAATCATTTACCTAGAAAGTCCAATATTATCAATGGAAAAAATCTATTAAATCAAATCAGACACATGTATACAAAATTCAACATAAAGTAACTTTCTTCATAGGGAAATTATTATTTAGACCATACCAACAGAAGGATATCCCAAATACAATAGCACCACACACCAAGAAACAAAATTAAATCTAACAGGCCATTATGTAAAACAATAAAACACTGTGAAAGATAAATAAGCCAACCTAAATAAATGCAGAGGCATAGCATGTTCCTAGAATAGAATATTTAACATTATAAAGGTGCTGTTTCTCCCTAAATTAATCTATAAATTTAATGCAATCCCACATAAAATCCTTAAAAAAGTATTTGTGGAGTTTGACATGTTTAGTTGAAAGTTTAATTGAAGAGAAAAATGTAGCAATAGCCAAGAATGTTGTGAAAAGTTCAAAAAGTGACATTTGCTTAGTCACATTAGGAAATACCTCAGTATATAGCCATAGTAGCTAAGCTTATGCCAGTAATTAATTGTTTAGAAATAGGCGGCATGGTGGTACCGAAAAAGAGAATACAAAACCAAGTCTAGCTTCATAGGAGACTTTATTATGTGTGCAGGAAATGTCTGTCGTTACTTGTGGGGAAATCAGTGGGAAAGGAATAGGAACAGTCTGGAACAATTTGCAGACAACTTGGAAATGCAGTTAAGTTTTTCTCTATCCATATTCTCACAAGAATACTTTGAAATGTATCAAATAAATATACATAAATGAGAGAAGTATTAAATTATTTTGAGAAAATAAATAGTGTTCATTTATAATTTGGGGTTTTAAAAGATTTTCTAAGAAGAGCCCTAAATTCAGAGGTCAGAAAGAAGGAAATTGTCATATTTATCTACATAACAATTTAAAAAAATTATAAATGACCAAGTCACAATATTAAAAGGCAAGAGACTGGAGATACCTCAAAGAACTAGGCTTAGAGGTCCCATTTGACCCAGCTATCCCTCTGCTGGGTATCTTCACAAAAGAATTAAAAGAATCTTACCACAGCGATATATGTGCACCCATGTTCATAGCAGCACAATTTGTAATAGCTAAAGCTTGAAAGCAGCCCAAGTGCCCATCAACTGGAGACTGGAT